GGCCGGGTACGGGTACGGGTAGGCCGTGAGTCACTGGTGAGTAACTGTTTGTCACTCATTTCCCAACGTCTTGTCTCTTCTCACAATTCAAGTTCCTAGAATCAACTCACCCGCGCCTGCAACATAGCTTCATCCCAGAGGTCGCAATCAGGTACCCGATACCCGTACCCTACCCTACCCGTACCCGGCCGGGTACCCGGCCGGGTACGGGTAGGGTACGGGTACGGCCGGGTACGGGTACCCGTTTGCGACCCTGGTGCGGCCGGGTACGGGTACGGGTAAGGAATCAAAACCCGTTTGCGACCTCTGCAGTGAAGCACTCTGTCCAGACCTCCGTTTGACCAGCCAGGGTGGGAGCTAGGCACGTGACCAGCGCTGGAGGGGGGCGGGGGTTGGTGGTTCGCCCCGTGAATGTCGTGGGCGTCTAGGATGTGCCGTGCCGTGGCTCGCCCGGAGGTGGTACAGCGAGTGGACTAATCGCCATCTGTTTCCTGTCTGTACTAACTAGAATTAACTGGACTGGACACAAATGATAGGTCAATGAAGTGGCTTATCGCGTGGAAATTTATTGCAGCCAAATAACTCTAAATGTGTTTTTTATTCTCAATATGGAGGAAAAAACCCGTCACGACCACAGGGTTCAGGGTCGGGATCGATCTCACGACCGTCAGTATAGCAAGCGAGGTAACATCTCGCCACCGTGTATGGGGATCGAGTGTGGCCCCCTTGCACTTGTGGTTTTCTCCAGGTGCTCAGCCTTAAATGTAGCTGGACGCTCCTGAAAAATAATCCTCGGTTTCAGTGTGCTAGGCCAGGCCGCTTCCCGTGCACGCAACAACAACCACAACAACAACCGCCATTCGCCACTAAGTGGCGGTGACGTCACCATGGCGCTTGTGCCAGGCCATGTGCACTTTAAGGCCACGTGAAGTGTCGCACACGCTCACACACGCGTACACACACACACACCTATCAATACCACGCACCCAGCGCTCCAGATGAGCTCCAGCAACCCGCGCGCTGCCCGGCGTGGCGATGCGTAGTCCAAGTAAGGAGAGCGAGAGAGAGGCTGCTGTAAGGAGAGTAAGGAGAGCGAGAGAGAGTGAGAGAGAGGCCTCCTCCGCAGGCTGCCCGCTGCTGCGACCGTCAAGAGCTGTCGCCCTTTCTCCCGCAGTGTCTGGGCCTGTACAGCAACGTCACCGCACTGAGGAAGTCGTGCGCCATGGCGTGCGCCCAGCAGGTGCGTCGGAAGCGTCGCACGCTGACACGAAACCCCGGCGACCCGAGTTCGATTCCCGCTCACCGCCACCAAAGCCTGCGGCGATTATCTGAACCGGTCCTGGGCCCTTCCCTAGGTCGATTCGGCTTCGAATGAGTACCCTGTGCGGTGTGTAAGCATCACCACTGGGGAGACAAAGGCGGACGGGCGTGGTGCTGGCCGCCCACCCCGTCGTGTGCCGTTCCGGCCTTCAAAGGTACTCGCTTAACAGCACTTGCCCCAACAGTCTCTTAGGGCTACACGGGAGGTCTTTGTCTTTGTTCCCAAGTGGAGAGCGGCGGCGCATTAGTTAGCGCTGCCGCGCTACGACCCCGGCGACCCACCTGAGTTCGACTCCCGCTCACGACCACAAGACTGCGGCCAATGTTTGAACCGGGCCTGGGCCTCGCCGAGACCGACCCGTCCTTGTACGAGTACCTGGTGCGGCGGCGTGCAAGCATCAGCACTGGGGAGACAAAGGCGGACGGGCGTGGTTGGCTTGGCCACCCCACCCCCCTCCTGTGCCACGGTGCCGGCCTTCATAGGCGCTGCTCCCGCTCGCTAAGAGCACTTGCTCCCAACGGTCTGTGAAGATTACGCGTGGTGTGGTGGCGTGGTGTGGTGGGATCTCTGTGTTTGTTCCCAGGTGTACGGCGTGCCGGCCAGCAAGCAGCAGTGCGTGGAGGCCGGCGACATCTGCCCCATCTGCCAGGCCGCCTTCGCCCAGCCGCTGATGCTCGTGTGCAGAGTAAGCGTCACCCCCCCCGGCCCCAATGGTTCCATACAGACCCCTGGCTCCATCCACGAGCCGCAGTCTCCATGTGTTTATTTACGCAGTAGAACCCCTTCCTCTGAACGACGGTGATTGGTTCCACGAGTGATTTTGGTGGTTAGTGTGCTGCCGCTACCAACCTGGCGACCCGAGTTCGATTCTCGCTCACTGCCAACGACGATTATCTAAACCATTCCTGGGTCTCCCCTAGGTCGACTCAGCCTCAAATGAGTAGCTGTTGCAGTGTCTAAACATCGCCACTAGGGAGACAAAGGCGACCGGGCGTGGTGTTGGCCACTCACCCCCTCCTGTGCCGTTCCGGCCTTCATAGGTGCTCCTCGCTAACAGCACTTGCACCAACAGTCTGGCAAGGCTATACGGGGGATCTTTGTCTTTGTTTGATTGTGTGTATGCGTGTTGCATGCTGTGTGTTTGTTGACCGCGTGTGTGTTAAAAAAGGGGAGGAAAATCTTCTAGGGGGGTGTCATCATATCAATATGCGTGGAATGCCAGGCTGTCACCGTGCGTGCTATGCCAGGCTGCGTGCCGTGTGTCTGTGCCGTGCTCGCGTCCCGTGCTAACTCCGCGTGTGGCGTGCGGCGTGTGGCGTGTGTCGTGCTACAGCACGTGCTGTGCGCGGAGTGCATGGCGCTGTGGTGCGACCGCGAGCGCGCCTGCCCCCTGTGCCGCGTCCTCATCAGCCCCTGCGCCCCTCGCTGGCGCGACGGGTCCACGTCCGCCCACTTGCAGCTCTACTAGGCGCCCGCCGGCTGCAGCTCCACCGCGGCCCGTGCCACCACTGGATTGGAGCCACGGTGGCCGACGTGCGGTGCGAAAGTAGTCCCGACACGCACACGTATGAGGCGGCCGCCGGCGACGCTGCCGCAGCGACGGCTCCTCCGTTTACCGAACGTCTCCGATCGCAGTTTATTAGCCTGGGTGGGGACCCCACCCCCTGATGGCGGCAGATGCTCCTGGAGCCACCGGTATATATAAAAAAAACACACAAAGGCGGCAATCTTCCGCCGGCCGTGAAGGTTAAAGGCGCAGCCCTGCAACCGCCTGTTCAGGCAACTGCCGGCAGAATAAATGGCTTCCGCTTGAGGAAGCTCGAGAGAGCGCCATTCTGTGGGGTATTTGGCCTACCCTTCCATGCTGGCCCAGACATCTTGTAAGAGGCGGTTTTCAGATGTTTCTGCTGCTAGGCGGTCGGAGGTGTGGGGGGATTGAACCGGAGATGTCCGGATTCTCTGCTGTTCATTGGATGTTTAAAACCCGGTCACATTCTTCACATGGTGGTGTCGGTCCAAACACTACTTTGAAAAATATAACAAGATGACCGCACGTTGTTAGGAAGTACACAATAGCCATCTCCGTATAGCTCGAGGTTTTGAATGTCGCGTCCCATGTGAGAGAGGTCGTGAGTTTCCAGTTGTGCCGTCACGTGGACAAATCTAAGTGAGCGCGTTTCTGTTTTGTAAAGTTTCGAATCAGTCCCCTCCGACTGCGACTCCTCATCGTAACTACCGTTTGATTGAAGAAAGAAATACACTTTCAAGAAGAGTCATTGGTGCTCCGAATGCCCTTGCCATGCACATGAAGTGGATTCTTCAATAGGGGGGAGGTCGGATGTTGAACTTCTTTCGCTCCGTACGTAGCCGACCGTGGCTTATCGGAGGTGCGGGGGAAGGACAAACTAAACAACAAAGCAGTTCGAAAGAAATGGGTTTTCAATCTACATTTAAAAGTGAATAGCTCCAGTGGCTTCCTCACATTGGAAGGAAAAACGTTGCAGGCGTCCGCAGAAGCGCATCTCTGTCCGACGGCCACCGTCTGCTGCTGCGACGGTGCTTTACGCTCCTCGACGAGATCAGTGAGGTTATTGTGGCTTCATTTGTGGCCAGCACTTTGTGTGTGTGTGTCTAATGAGTGCGATCTTGTAACGGGGGGGGCTGTGCCAGGCGGTCGGCCCCCACCGATGCCCACTTGGATGACGTCTTCATTCGCCACGTGTAACAGCATTCGCTAAATAAAGTTTTACGAAGTGAGGGTCAATACCAAAAGTGTCCGTCTCTTTATACGCCCGTTGCCAGAAGCCGCAGCTTGCACGGCACCCATTTCGGACACGAAGAAAACGTGCCGCTAAAAATCTGGCAGTCCGCGAGCATTGGTTCAAGGAAGCTCGACTGCCGATGAGACTGCTGCACGTCGAAATCGGTCCACGGTTTGCATGGAAGCAACGCTGCTGACAAAATGCACTCCCAGGCCTGTGTACAAATGTTTTTTTTCTCTGCAGAGATAAGGAGGCGTACGTTGTGAAGGATTATTTTGCACATTACTACGTACTCTGATACAAAGAAGCCGCAATGTGTGTTGCCCTTGACGCAGACTGTGGGGAGACGTCCCGAAACACGAATTGGCATCAACATCTGCCGCTCTGCTCCCCGCCACGCGCTTTATCGCAGCCTCCGCTCAACCTTTGCTCGGTGGAAGGTCCGCTCATCGCCTCCCCCAATGACCAGTCATCCGTGCCGTCACCTTTCCCGCCGCTGTTCAAGCTCAGGCCCTATAGACCTGCCTTTCTGCCCGTCTATGACGCACTAGCTCGAAGTAAATGAGCCCAGTTTCTGTGCAGCATCTTGAGCCGCAGTGCACTTAACGGAATTCCAAATTGCTACGTCCTGCATAGAATAACAAAACATTGCAATCGCCAGAGACCCGAAGCCGAGTAGTTTGGCACGGAGCGTTGTAGTTCGGGAGTGCACACCGCTGGTGTGCAAGCGTGAGATGGGTCACCGTCTACCGAGGTCTGGGGGCCCACGTGACGACTGCGCTCATTAATATTCACCATCTGTGCGTAGGCCTGCAAGGGTATTGTGATTCAAGAACATTCTCGTGAGCGTATTAATGATTCAACAGAGAGTGTTTTTTCTAATTAATGTATACACTTGCACAGGTATTTAACACAATTTATTTTATTGTGATGTCACCGATTACGTCTCTAGCGGTTCATAATTCGTTGCTTTTGGGTTCGATCGTGGAAGTGGCAATCAAATCAGGTTGTCATGGGGGGAAATGTGCCACTCGACTTGGCTTTGCAGCTTGTACAGGACTGTTGACAACCAAGCAAAACGATGACAATTTTGTTACTTGAATTTGAGAGATCACTGAATATCCACACGGTGCAACCCAAAATAAACGGATGTAATCACATCGGTCGCGAAAGCTTCGTGTTCAATAAATAATTACATCTCTTCAAATATATAAAAAAACATTTGTACAAATTCACTTAACAGGATTCTATTAACTGGCTATCACAAATGATAGCTCAACGAAGTGGCTTATCATCGCGTGGAAATGCATAGCGGATAATTACTCTCTAAACGCGTGGTGATGTTGATTCTAAATGTGGTGGGAAAAAGCGGAGGACCTGGAGAAAAATCCATGCGACCACGGGGAGAGAGAATTCAAACTCCAAATATACAGGTGTATCGGTCATGATTGAACCAACGACCTCCTATATAGCAGGCGAGGTAGTTAACATCTCGCCAACGTGGCCAGGTTCGGCAATGTGTGGGAAGGTGTTCAATGGAACGCTCGAGTTTCAGAGCTACACAAACGAATGCATGGTGTTTGGATCAACTTCTTTCGCACCTTACGTAGCCAACCGTGCTAATCGGAGGTGCGGGGGAAGGGCAACATTAAACTCCAAGCAGAGTTCAACGGAAATTCCGACGACTGCTGCATTTGCACGGCCCAGTGGGAGTCGAACCGCCCTTGGTTCATGAGTTGAGCAACGAGGTTCGGTTCGAAGAGCATCGCGCCGAGCCGGTAAAACACCGGGAGGGGGCGAGGGGAGCTGGGGGGCGGGGGGGCAGGCGACAGCGCACTGACGGATTTCCCCGCTTGCGTGCGACGCCTGTGGCCGGAACACGTGGATCGCAGATCGGAAGCGCCGTCGATGAGATCCGCCATGTCGACGGCTCAGCCCCCCTGCTCCACCCCCCCCCCCCTCCATGACGGCCACGTCCCAGCTGCAGCTGTCGGTAACTCAGCCGCGTCCCAGCTACAGCTGCCGGTAGCTGGCTATGACCTGCTCCAGCAGGGTGAAGCTGTCGAGGAAGTCCTCCTCCGACACGCCGTGGTGCGTGTACTGGTGGACGTACGCCCTGAAAAGATGTTCACATTGTTAAACGCACTTCACGACAATTACCGCACAAACACGGGTATTTATGTTTGTTTGTTTGTACGTACGTTGAACGGTGCTGATCGGAGGTGCGGGGGAAGGACAACAAACTAAACAAAAAGGTGTGCTAAAGAAATTAGTTCTCAAGGGTGTAAGGGACGCCTCGTCAAGACGCGTGCGGGTGAGGCGTGCGGGTGATGCGTGCGGGTGACGCGCGCCGTTGTGCCTTACACGCGTACGGCACGCGTGAACCCAAGAGCCAGACACAGATGCCATCTTGTGAGGCCAGGGCAGACCGGCCTCGATTCTGGCTCGGCAAAACGCCAACAGAAAACGCCGCTAGGATGTGCGAGCGGAAATTCGATACGGTTGCTTCTGCCGTTGCGGCCAGGAAGCCGATGCGGTTTACCTGGACACGAACATGCGCCAGGCCTTGGAGACGGCGTGCTCGACGGGGGAGATCACGGCCGTGTCGTTGGCGAGCAGCGTGGCCGACTTGCCGTAGCCGGTGGGCGCGCGCCGCTCGCTCCACACCGTCAACGCCGCCTCGGGTGGCACCCAGCGGCACAGCGAGCCGCCTGCCGCCAGCTCGCCTAGCGCCACGCAGCGCCGGCAGAATCGGAAATGTGTGTTTGTACTGCAGGAGGAATCCGATGAGCTATAAAGCTCTTTTTCACAGGTGCCCAGTAGGGGCGGGTCAGAACGTTACAACAACAAACAGTACAAAACACGATAGGAGTGCGAAGTATGGGACAGATAAACGAGTTAGCCAAACACATACAAATAAAACTAAACCATCCTAGATTTGAAGCTTTCGTGACTGCAAGGATTCATACTCTTAGGTTTTTTCGGTAAAGTCACGTAGGTAAAAATAAATATAATAGAAATACAATTATTATTTCTATTATTTTTATTATTTATTTTTACCTATGTGACTTTACCTGAAAAAACCTAAGAGTATGAAAACTAAACCATCCCCGTCCTACCAGACAAGGTCCACTGATAAGTATGAACTTATTTTTCAGAAGCAACCTGGTCACAAACGATAGCTCAACAAAGTTAGGGAGAGCTATAGACGTACGTCGCAAGCTTGTGTGTGTGTGTATACTTCATTACAAAGACAAAGAACTCGCGTATAGCCTTAATAGACTGCAGGGGCAAGTGCTGTTCGCGAGTAGAACCTATGAAGGCCGACACGGCACACGAGGGGGTGGGTGGCCAGCATCACGCCTGGCCACGATGTTTACATAACCGCACAAGGTACTCATTTGAGGCTGAGTCGACCTAGGAGAGGCCCAGGACCAGTTGAGATAATCGTCACTGGTGTTGGCCATGAGTGGGAATCGAACTCGGGTCGCCCGGTTCGTAGCACAGCGTGATAATCGCTACCACTACCGCTCCCTAATGTACATACACAAACACACTTGTATACGACACCTATATACAGATAGTCCCTGAGTTATGATGCTCCGACTTAAGATATTTTGATCTTACGATGGCGATAGCGATACGACAAAATTGTAAAATATTAAAAATTTCGCGCGGCAGGCAAACGCAGCAGCGTACGAGGTACGACACTGTACGTTGGGACGCTGCCGGGATGTACGCATCTCCCGCTTTGTGTGAAGTTGCAGTTCATATAGGTAGGCTAAGAATTTACCTTGTTTTTTTTTACTTTACATCTTACTGTGCAATACAGTATTGCAATTCATAAATACATACAGTATAAAGTTTATACAGTACGGTACTGTAAATTGCTCTGTTTTGCTAAATTATCACCATTCTTTAAGACTCCTGGGTAGGCTAGGCCATCTTCGACTATTTTTAACTTACGGTGGGGTCGTCGTAACGCATCTCCATCGTAAGTAGAGGACTACCTGTACACGTTGCTTTGTGGAGACAGGGCTCAGCACGGCTCGGGACGGGCCCAGCATGGCTGGGGCCACAGTACAGCACTGGGCCCAAGTACAGATCCTCGTGGAAACGCAGTGGACGGTGGGAGAGGTCGCCGCTGGGTACGTGCGGGACCGTGTGCGTGCGGGACCGTGTGCGTGCGGGACCGTGTGCGTGCGGGACCGTGTGCGTGCGGGACCGTGTACGTGCGGGACCGTGTACGTGCGGGACCGTGTACGTGCGGGACCGTGTACGTGCGGGACCGTGTACGTACGGGACCGTGTACGAGCTCTCCAGGGAAGACGCTGCAGTGGTGGTTAACAAGCGAAGTTCGTGGGGTGGTTTGCAGTCGTGTGTTGCACGGCTCGCGCTGCAGTAGCAGCAGCATGTGCCAGAACAACAACAAACTCCACACACCTGTCAACGACACTGTGGCCTTAGAGATACAAACGCAATAGAAATCGCCGGCGGCGTGACGTTTTAGGAATGGGCCCTATTTCATGTAAGTGCGTAAACAGAGAGGCCAGAGACAAAGAGTTAACGGGGGTTGGAGACTGTGTGTAACAACACCACGGGGCATGGTGTTAATTCAATGTAATGAAAGTTTTTTCTGATGAACAGTGGTTCAATGGGCACATGAATAGTTAAGTATAACAGTAGCTCTTGAGCAAGAGACAAACTCTTCTGTAACCGAGCACCAAAACAACTCACCAAGCGGCGCAGAGTGAGCATCTGGCCCTCTCAGCACCAGCAGACGGGCAAGAGAGGTCGGAGGTGGGGCAGGGCCTGCAACGCAGCAGAGGACTCGGTGAGTCAACTACAAAGACAGATCACCCGTATAACCTTTAATAGGCTTGTAGGGACAAGTGCTGTTAGCGAGCACCTATGAAGGCTGGCACGGCACACGAGGGGGCGGGTGGCCAGCACCACGCCCGGCACACGTAGCACCAGGTACTCATTTGAGGCTGTGTCGACCTAGGGGAGGCCCATGACCTGTTCAGATAATCGTCACTGGTGTTTGGCAGTGAGCGGAAATGGAACTCGGGTCGTCCGGGTTCGTGCGCGTTACGTACACGCGCCTACACGCACACGCACACGTAGGCGGAGTTGGGACTTTACTCTGGGTCTCTCTGTGCAGCTCCGAGAGAAGGCCCTTCCAGTCGTAGCGCGTGAAGTCGCGCGAGGACTCGGGCAGCTGGGGAACCGCGTGCAGGGAGAGCAGCTTCAGCTCAGGGTGCGGCACCAACGCCTGCAGCAGCTCGCCTGAGAGACACGAAAGACAAAGATCCGCCGTGTAGCCTTTGACAGGCTGTTGGGGCAAGTGCCGGCCACCTCTGTCTCCCCAGTGATGATGTTTTACACATCGCACCAGGTACTCCGTTTGAGGCAGAGTTGACCCAGGAAAGGCTCAGGACCGGTTCAGATAATCGTCACTGTTATTGGTCACGAGCGGGAATCGAACTCGGGTCGCCAGGTCCGTAGCGCAACACACTGACCGCTAACGCTGCAGCTCCACCAATGGTACAATGAAAGCACACACACAGGGTGATGACCGCAGAGGGCGACACAAAAGGGGGAAGAAATGACAGGCACCCGAACACGCAACCTCCGTGCATCCGCAAATGTATGTATGTTGAACTTCTTTGGCAGCGTACCAAGGTGCGGGAAAATCGGAGATGTGGGTGCCTGTAACCTGGCTGAAGTAAAGCCCTGGGCTTCACCATGCCGCTCGCAACAAAGCACACGCACACATGCACTCACACATTCACTCACACACTCGCGCAATCACTCACACACTCGCGCAATCACTCACTCAATCACGCATTCACTCACGCATTCACTCACGCACTCATGCAGGCACTCACACACTCGCGCAATCACTCACTCAATCACGCATTCACTCACGCACGCATTCACTCACGCACTCATGCACGTACTCACACACTCACGCAATCACTCACTCAATCACGCATTCACTCATTCACTCACGCACTCATTCACTCATGCACTCACTCACGAACGCACGCTTCGCCTGATTCGCCTGCGTTGTCCCTCCTCCCCGCGTCCCGCCTCACCGAGCTGGTCGTGGAGGTAGGCGCCGGCCGTGGGCCCACCGGCGGGAGGACCCCGGCGGACGCGTGCGGGCAGCAGGGCACCCGCCAGCTGAGCGGCCACCACCGCGTTGAGGTGCGAGAAGGAGACGGCCGGCCGGCGCAGGAGCTGCGCGCAGACGCGGTGCGTGCGATCGTTCTGCTGCACGAGCAGCGCGTCCGAGCAGCCGTGCAAGTGGGCCAGAGTCAGCACCGCGTTGTAGTTCTGCACAATCACCTGTCGGGGGCGGGGGGAGGGGGGAGGAGGTGAAGAGGTCAAGAAGCAGCCTGACGAACGCTTGCTCAGGCCACTCCTGGCACAAGTTGCAAGTTCATGTATTAGGTATAGCCCTGTGAGCCATTCGGCTCTTGAATCGGGTGCAACAGCAACAAACAAAAAACAAAAACATGAACAAAAAAACATCTTAAAGTGAATATGTGACTGAGTGCAAACAAAAAATCCAAGAAAAGACAGCAAAATATTGCAGAAAAAGCACCGTACACCAACGCTCTGTGCAAAAATCCCAGTGGGATGCAAGTCAAACAACAACAACCACAAGACAACTTAGATTAAGGCCATCAGTCTAACTCTGTACTACAACAAACAAACATGGCTAAACCAATACACTTTTCGAAATCACCAAAATAAAGCCATGAAAGCAATGAAACAGTGATCACAAGGAGGTGCGGTGAGCGGGGGACAACAATAAACAAACAGCTGCGGCCACGCCGTGCGCCGCGGCCCGACCTCCCCGGTGCTGTACGGCCAGGTGAGGTGGTTGAGGAGGCCGGCCTTGGGGTAGGCGTCGCGCAGCCGAATGCACAGCCTCGTGCCCAGGCCCGAGCCCGTGCCGCCCGCGACGCTCATCATCGCCAGGAAGCCCGAGAGGCGGTCACAGCGCTCCACCTGCGCCCGCACGCTCTCCATTGCCTCCGACAGGCAGTGCTCGCCCGGCCCTGCAAAGCTGCACACAATGCAGACAACAGTGTGTGTGTGTTTGTTTACACAGCAAACCCTTGTGCATCGGTGGGGAGGAAGGGGGGGGGGATTGTGGTCTTGAGAATACCCCCCATCGGCAAATATGCGATACGCAATCTGAAATGGGTTCAGTTCACGGTTTGTAATATGACATCCCCCTCCTTTTGTTACACGTTACCTTACGTCAAGCCAAACGCCAAACAGGAAGTGATTTGAATATAAAATGTTATTAATACTTTCTCGTGTTAAATATAACTTGTACGGTAAATGTATCGAATGAAAATAATAATGTAAAATATCCGTGTACAGTACATCAATCCTGCTATCCCAATAGAAGTCCCATGACGAGTGAGGAGCAGCGAATCATTAAACCGGTGTGGCGTAGAAAGACTTAATTATTTTTGTCACAAGCACGGTCAATCCGCATTTAGGACGCTCTGCTGATGGACAATCGAGTGGTCAACTGTGTAGGTGATTGAGCATTAGACGCACAACGGGAAGGACACACACAATGCGACGACATTCACCTAAGACACCGGCTTGGAACTCGCCGCGACCTACAGCGCTGCCACCATCTGAGTAGATACAACGGCCTCCGTCGACTTTAACATTCTGATAATGACGACAATGATGATGATGATGATGAAGCGTGTAAAGCAGGGCCACCACCTCACTCACCCGTACGCCCAGTTGTTGGCGGAGCCGCTGGTCCGGCAAACGGCTGCCCCATCGGCGTAGCGCCACTCTCCCGAACGTGCCGCCATGGCCACGCTGCGTGCCACCACCTTCCTCTCCATGTCCACCAGCACGGCCCGTGCCTCGGGGAGTCCTGCGAGTGGCAGGACGCCCCACTTCGCTTCACAAACATCAACTGGTAACGCAGCCAATTGCTAAACTAAAAACTATTTTTTTTATTTTAGCAGGTAAGTGACCTGGCCACAGATGATAGCTCAACGAAGTGGCTTATCATCACGTGGACATTTATAGCAGCCAAATAATCTAAACGTGTGATGTTGATTCTAAAAGTGGAGGGAAAAACACCGGAGGACCCGGAGAAAAGTTGACACGACCACAGGGAGACGGAGAGAGAGAGACACGCAAACTCCAAATATACAACAGGCATCGTCAGGGTCGGGATGGAACCCACGACCACCTGCACACCAGGCGAGGTAGTTAACATCTCCTAGCCACCGTGATGATGATGAGAGAGAGACACGTAAACTCCAATTATACAACAGGCATCGTCAGGGTCGGGATGGAACCCACAACCTCCTTCATACCAGGTGAGGTAGTTAACATCTCCTAGCCACCGTGGCGAGATGTATCCAGACCAACTCTTTAAAAAACTGGGGCCCATGACCCACAGTTGGGAGGGGGTGAAAGATGTCAAGGTCCCAAGGGACTGGGTACCGGATCCGGCTGGGCTGTGGAAGTATCGCTCCAACGCCGCCTCCCGGTAGCACGCATCGTCGTTTCTCGGCGGCCCCGGAGCGGGGCGCACGTCATGAATCAGTGCATCAAACCACGTGCTGCCCAGCTGGTTCCCGCACTGGCCCAGCTGGAGGGCGACCACCGACATTGGCCCTCTTGAGGTTGCGGGGCCAGAGGCAGCCCTGAGAAATTCGCAGGCTGAGATGTGGATCCGCCGCACCTAGGGGCAGGGGGATGAGGAAAAGGGAAGCGAGAGTGATGTGGAGATGTAGGAGGACGCACAAATTGATAGAATTGTGGCAAGGAGATGTTAACTACCTCGCCTGATATACAGGAGGTCGTGGGTTCGATACCGACCCTGACCCCTGATAATTTTGAGTTTGCGTGTTCTCCCCGTGGATGCTTAGGCTGCATCCTATTCATCTAAAGAGAGACATAGGAATGGGAATTATTTGACAGCCTCAAGAAATCGTTAACACAATCTCCATTCATGTCAATGGTGACTGCTGCGTGTGCATTCAAACGAATTGGATTCTAGCGATAATCCCACGATCGTCACAATATGACATACTAACCCTGGTAACAGTAACTCAGCAATGTCTCCTTCATATACGTCCATAAAAAATGTCAATGTCATTTTACAAACCTTAAATCTGCGACAATGCATTGAGTGCATAATTGCAGCGGCATTACTTTGAGGACTCCTCTTTGCCACGATTTGTGTTTCGCGGATAAGGAGTTACGTGGCAGATAACCCCGCAGATTAATAGTATCCGCGATATTGGTCCCCCACATCACCGCGGATAAGTGGAGTCCTATGATAGCACTGACTGCCGACGAGCGAGTGCGAGTTGTGACGGGAACACATCTGGCTTGCCATGTGGTGCGAGTTTGACTCCCGAATCCCAACCCGTCAACCCATATGGTTTACTCCATATTCTTGTACAGGGAAATTGAGTTTTCAGGTCCATACGGAGTACGGCCGCTTCAATACGGGCACATTTAGTTTTTGGTCTATTTGTTTGTGTTTCTCCCTTGTGATAGGACTTTGTAGGATGAAATTTTATATTTATAAGGGCACGGGATGACCAATAAAGTCTGAGCTGGTCTGTAATAAGGTAGGCACTGATAAGGGGTTGACTGGTATGCGAATTAGTGTGGGGGTGGTGTATGTTTACAGAAGCCATGGCTCACTACCAAACGCTGTGTTCTTATTCACTGTGAGACCCACGGGCCACTGGCGGCCCCTGGTGACCTTTAGTGTGGCCCCTGGTGGCCTTTAGTGCGGCCCCTGGTGACCTTTAGTGTGGCCCCTGGTGGCCTTCAGTGAGGCCCCTGGTGACCTTTAGTGTGGCCCCTGGTGGCCTTTAGTGTGGCCCCTGGTGGTCTTTAGTGTGGCCCCTGGTGGCCTTTAGTGCGGCCCCTGGTGACCTTTAGTGTGGCCCCTGGTGGCCTTCAGTGAGGCCCCTGGTGACCTTTAGTGAGGCCCCTGGTGGCCTTTAGTGTGGCCCCTGGTGGTCTTTAGTGTGGCCCCTGGTGACCTTTAGTGTGGCCCCTGGTGACCTTTAGTGCGGCCCCTGGTGACCTTTAGTGTGGCCCCTGGTGGCCTTTAGTGTGGCCTCTGGTGACCTTTAGTGCTGCCATCTGGTGACCTTTAGTGCGGCCCCTGGTGACCTTTAGTGTGGCCCCTGGTGGCCTTTAGTGTGGCCCCTGGTGACCTTTAGTGTGGCCCTGGGCCTTTAGTGTGGCCCCTGGTGACCTTTAGTGAGGCCCTTGGTGGCCTTTAGTGTGGCCCCTGGTGACCTTTAGTGTGGCCCTGGTGGCCTTTAGTGTGGCCCCTGGTGACCTTTAGTGTGGCCCTTGGTGGCCTTTAGTGTGGCCCCTGGTGACCTTTAGTGTGGCCCTTGGTGGCCTTTAGTGTGGCCCCTGGTGGCCTTCAGTGAGGCCCCTGGTGGCCTTTAGTGCTGTCACCCCCACCCCGCTCCACCACAACAATTTCAAACGGAGTGGCGGCCCCCCTCACACCGACGATGTCTTCTTATCGACGACAGCCCCCCCCACCCCTCTCACCTCTCTGCACGTGAGTGAAGAAAATCATCGATCGAAGCGAACACGATTTGGAGCGGTGGGGGGTGGGGGGTGAGGCAGTGGTCAGCTCAATAAACTTACGAAGCTTACGAAGCCGGCGAGACGGCGCCTTTGGAGTCTTTGGCCGCGGCTGTCGGGTCAGCTGACGAGCGGCGTCCATCCGAGGAGCCGGTCACACCATGGGGGCGCGCAGTGACCAGTGTGGTGAAGTATGGTCAAACGAGCCTCCGGCGTAAGAGCCCTGGCATTCAAAGTCGAATCGACAAAGTTTGCGCAGACAATGAATGAAAGCAAACACTGCCGCCTCGAGAACAACCTTCTCACAGAACTGCGCGTAAACCAAAAGTGTCATCGCGGTAAGAGACGCAACCACTGTTGCTATGCAGTACTGTAGTAGTACAGTACTGCATAGCAACCAGCGCTGATGCTTGTGTGCAACGGTGCATTGGCGGCGGGTTTGCAATGCGCCTTTACGGGTCTCACCTGGTCGCTGTTTGTGAGATGCGCGACCCACACCCGACGCATGCCTCATCCAGCAGTGGAGTGACGAACGAAGGCACTGTACGCGTACAGTAGTTACCGCCACTTCATTTCAAAGCGCGCCACGACACGCCCCGCGCGTGACATGACGTCACTACGCAAGCGCACCATGACCAGCCCTGCGCGTGACATGACGTCACTACGCAAGCGCACCATGACCAGCCCTGCGCGTGACATGACGTCACTACGCAAGCGCGCCATGACTCCCCCCGCTCGCGTGACGTGACGTCACTACACAAGCGCGCCACGACTGCTTCCCCCGCTCGCGTGACATGACGTCACTACACAAGCGCCATGACCCGCCCTGCGCGTGACGTGACGTCACTACGCAAGCGAGCCTTGACCCCCCCCCCGCCACGTGTGACGTCACTACACAAGGTCTCCTTAGTGGTGATGTCACCGTTCTGGCAACGAGCAGGTGACGTCATCGTATGGAATGACGTCACTGCCCACTTTGTGGGGGGGGGGGGAGACCGAAAATCTGAATCTGCAATTATACTGCAGAAGGAATCCGATGAGCTATAAAGCTCTTTTAAACGGATGTCCAGTAGGGGCACAGGGTGAGAACGACAAAGAGACGATAGGAGTAAAGGAAAGTTAAACAAATAATTATCCAATTCTCGCCCTAATAGCTTCTTTAAAAAAAAAATCTGTGTAAATCGTATTTCCTCCCCACCGTCTTGCCAAATTCTTTAACCTCTGCCGATGAGTGCTCGGTCTGTAAATCCACTGCTAGACTGATGGACACAAATCACGTGTGCGGTCTATATATTTTATTACATACTGGACGTGTCGACAGAACAGAGATCTGTGTCAACCTGTGCTGGATTTCGCACGTTGCTTTAACTGCCGAGCCGGGAGATCGAACCGACCCGGCAACCCCTGGATTGCAAGCCCGGTGTCGCACACCGGGACACGACGGCTCCCTCCGATCTCAAAACGAACCTCACTTTATCCGCCCCTGGTGGGCTGATTGGTCACAGTTGACCCGAGTCAGGCATTTTCACTCTCGAAGACCCCCTTGGGGGTTGATTTATCACGAAGCTGATCCGTGTGGTCCACCCCTTAACCCGCAGCCACTGCACAAACCAGCGATGATGGTGATGATGATACACGACTACTACTACACTACTACTACTACACCACTACTACTACACTACTACTACATTACTACTACACCACTACACTACTACTACACTACCTACACCACTACTACTACACTACCTACACTACTACTACACCTACACTACTACTACACCACTATTACTACTACACCACTACTACTACACTACTACTACACTACCTACACTACTACACTACTACTACACTACCTACACCACTACTACTACACTACTACTACACTACCTACACTACTACACTACTACTACACCACTACTACACTACCTACACCACTACGACTACACTACTACTACACTACTACTACTGACGCGGTTGTTACCTGGCCTTGACCACCTCAATGATTGTGGTTGTTGGCGTCTCTGCATCTACATCAGCAGCCGTAAGACAGAAGAAGAAGTCTATACATTCGGAATTTCAGAGTTGCCTTCTCTCTCCCAACATCAACATTCGCTTTTGCCCAGTGTGTGAAGAATTGGAGTGAAGATGCATGGGCAGCATCGCTTCCAGAACGCCCCACGTGGGGGCAGTAACGCGCTCTCTCTTCAGAGGTCTCCGAAAATCGTTCATCTCAGATACTTCTGAGTGCTCAAGCCGAGCTAAAGATGCCCTCTGATAAGTTGAATTGGCCTTTGTACTGTTAATAAAACTAGTTCGAATGTACAACGTGCCCTTAAGCAATATTTATTAGGGCGCCTTTTGGAAAGGCTGTGTCTCTGGTGGAGGGCAATCCGTTTCAAAGACAACGCGTAAGTTATTATCAGTGCCACGTGTTTGTTCGCATGTTCAACACAAGTACCGTGGTTAATGCAGACCAGCAGTTCCTTGCGAAAGGTTTCTGTTTGGTGTTCAAACATCTTCACACCTATTTTATTGCTAGGAATGGTAATAAAGCGATTCTTGTTTTTCATGCATTAATCTCACGCAGATTTCCAGTGTATCATCTTATCTAAATTTAGACAGAGAATTAACTATGTGTACAGCAGAGTAGTGTGACGATGAGATGAGTTTATGATGGCAGTGCGTGATGGATATGACGATGCTTGAATTGAACGATGATGAGAGTGACAATGAGTGGTCAATGATGAGTGAGTGTGATGAACGGGTATGCAGGCGTGCATGTTGAACTTCTTTCGCACCATACGTAGCCCAACCGTGCTAATCGGAGGTGCGGGAAGTTTGGAAAGAGGGGGCGTATTCATAATAAAATTGTTTTTGTGGTTCCATTGCGGAAATACAAATGTGTCGTTCACCCACCACCACCCGACACGGCCAATTAGTAAGGTTTGTCACAAACAAAATGCGCCAATTCAGCACACCGGTGTGCTGGAGAGTAACCCCCACAACATGTACAATTAGAGCCCTGTCCGACGTTTCGCTGGTAATTACAACGAGCTTCATCGGGCGATGAAGCTGTGCCAAAATTGTGGTGGTGGGTGAACAACACGTTTATATTTACGCGATCTACCCCCCCCCAAAAAAAAAACCTTTCTTACGAATAACATTGATCGCGAAAGCCCACGACGCGTTAAAGAGGGATGCAGTTAGTGATGGGGAAGGGATGAGGAGGAGTTGGGGTGAGCAAGAGAAAATAAGTGAGAGGCTTAACGGGAAACACGAAAAATGTAGAGTGAGGCTGAATGTGTTGACGTGCAGGGGACGTTTGTTCCAGGTGTAACCTTGGCGAGTTTCTGGCTCTGCGTAAGGTATATAAAGTGGGCTGCCTATGTATGAGGTTCCCAGAGGTGGACTTGGCAGCAGTTGGCATTGGTGACTGCGTTGTACTGATGAGTCCTAATATGGACGAAGCCGTCCACAGCTGTCTCGCTGCTGCTGCCTGTTGGTTCGTCGCATTTGCTCAATTTATTGAAGGTGTATTGAGGCTAGATGACGACACATGGCAGTTCTTCAGGAATTGCTGGCTTCGCGTATTGCTTCGGGCTGATGAGTGTTTCGCACGCAGAGTGCGCGTTTCGTTGTCGATGCGTCGAAAACCGATACGGCAGACCGCTGAGAAGCCTCGTCAGTGCCTCGCCACCCTTCGATTGCCGCTGCAACAGTTACTGCTCCTGTGAACTTCCTTTATTTATTCGGACACTCGCATAGAGGACTATCTGCACCGAACACGCGGCAAGTCAAAATCACTGCTGCTCACTTTTTTATTTCCCTGCCACCGTCTCTTTCTCCACATGCACACAAACGTTATTCTATTCAAGAAACGTAATGACTCACATCTGTTGCACCTTCACTCGGAATGTTTGTTGCTGGGCATTCGGGCCTGTGTTCATCAACCATGATTTTTAAAAAAATGGTGTAGTGCTCACTTGGATGAACTGAAAAGTGCAGGAATGATCTGTGCGGCAGATGTTTTGGGTCCAGAAGGTTTGTTTGTCTTGTATAAGAATTTGAGATTTAAAAAAAATTCCACTTTGCAATACGCGTTTTTTTATATACCAAGGTTCAGCCAAGTGTAGTTTATGCCAAATTTAAAATAGCTTCACTGAATTGTTTTCGCTGTTCATGCAAGCATGGCACAACATTCAAGCGTGCCTTTTGGGACTGTCTGGATATTCTCAAATGAATGGATGTGGTCCTGCATCACTTCAACGTTGCATGGAAAAATCGTGCTCCCATCGGTTCTGGAGCTAAATACTCTTGGGCATTAGCAAATGATTTAAGCATAAGTTTCAGTTCGAAATTTTATATGTACAGTGTGGCCCAAAAGTCAGGACACATAGGGTTATGATATTTCAACAATTCGCATCGGGTTACTTCATTTATGATAACAAATGTTCAAATTGACTACCATTAGCATTAATGCATGGGTGCATTATCTTTAATTTAGGACTTAAAAATATATATTCCAGGTGTGATCTTTCAATATTCATTAAAAAAAACATGTTTGTCTCAATTCATTCACAGGGTTCTTGGTCGGGTTTTGTAAACAACGGATTTGAGGTGTACCCACAGGAAGAAGAAACGTATAAATAAATAAAAACTAACTATTTTATTTTACCAGGTAAAGCTCCATGTAACTATATAGCTCTTTGTCAGAAGCGACCTGGTTATCACAAATGATAGCTCAACGAAGTGGCTTATCACGTGGACATCTATAGCAGCCAAACACCCGAAACGAATGTTAATAAATGTGGAGGGAAAAACCGGAGAAGCCCGAGAAAAATCCACGCGATCATAGGGGAGAACGTGCAAACTCCAAACATACAGACGTCGGGGTCGAGATCGAACCCACGACCTCCTGTCTACCAGGCGAGGGTGATAACATCTCCTAGCCATCGTGGTGAAATATAAATCTAAAGAGTACACTTTTTTTAATTCTAGATTTGAAGCTTTCGTGACTGCAAGGATTCATACTCTTAGGTTTTTTCGGTAAAGTCACGTAAGTAAAAATAAATAATAGAAATAATAATAGAAATCTAATAATAAATCACGACGTTTCGGGTGGCAACACAAGTCTCCGTCATTAGGTGAGACTTTTTTTATGCCAGTGTTAAACTACGTGAGATAACCCGATGTGTGCCTGGCTTTTTTGCCACCCTGTATATACGACTCGACTGTTGGTAAAATACTCTTTGTTTCTTTCGGTAAAGTCACGTTTCAAGAGAAAAGAATAAATTAAATACTAGCATACGACGTTTCGATTGCAACACAAGCAATCATCATCAGGTATAAATGAAATAGATAACATAACAGTCAACACCCTTATCCGACTCTCTGTTGTATTACATTACATTTCAAAGTATACTAGATTTGTGTTTCTATTTCATTTATACCTGATGACGATTGATTGTGTTGCAATCGAAACGTCATATGCTAGTATTTAATTGATTATTTTCTCTTGATACGTGACTTTACCGAAATAACCAAAGAGTAATTCCTGCAGTCATGAAAGCTCCAAATTAAGTATGTTGGTAAAATGTCGAGGTGCAGCCAT